ACTCAGTCTGGCGACACTTTTTGCTGAACGCGTTTCTATTGTGGTTCTATTGTTCTCACAATGCTGTCGAGCGTAACCAGCGTCGCCTTCAGGCCGTGTTTTTCACTCCACAGCAGCCTCTTCGTTTCATGATGGGCCCACTCGGCGTTTGATTCAAAGGTGAACTTGTAACTGGTTTTAATGGAAACATCATCACTGGTCTGAACGAGCCAGCAGCTGGCCAATCACATGCTGCGTATTAGACGTCAGACGTCTCGTTGCAATGCTACGTGCTGCTGGGGAACTGCAGCATCTGACATTTGGATGTGTTTTTGACCTGAACACTGCAGAACAAGCTAACTTTAACTAGCACCAGCGCTCCCCGACAGCAGCAGCCTCCGCACAATCTGCCCATGAACGCCACACCAGCAGCAGCTCCACTCGTGGGTTTCAGCTCGAGAAACAAACAGCCTTTAAAAGAGTGGATCGTCTTTCTACTGCAGCCATGCTGCTGTTTATTCATCTACTAAGAATGAAAATACACAAAATAAAACCTTTGTAAACTGTTCAGACACAACCCATAAATGTGTGTGATGCACGTGAATTAAATGAATTAAAAAAGGATTTTTTAGATCTTTCTTCTGTTTCCTGTTTCAGTCAAAGATTTTCTTTCACGTCTACATGTAATTTAACGCCCCTGCGTGCACATGAAACATCACAGAGGAGCGAGCGGCGGCCCTCACCGCTGTGACCTCTGTTATGCAACAGCAGGACCTCGTGAAGCTGCTGGCAGGAAGCGCCGCTGCGTTTCCAAGAGGCTTAATTGTTGTGCTGCAGCAGCAGAACCCGGAGCCCATGGAAAACCAACAGCCGCTAAAATTAGCCCCGCACATCGACCGCATTGATCCGCCAGCCCTACTTCTGCGGCTCCGCTCGCCAGAAAGCTGCTGACAACGAGGCTTAATTACTCCCAAAAGACACAAAACTGGTTTAACAAATGCAGCGACACAGAGAGGGCAGAGGTTATGATTTCATCTATCAGAGAGCGATCGACGATACACCATCAAATCCACAACAACAACCAAAACCAATCAGTCGCCCAATACGTCAATCGATTTATTGACCGATCAGGTTTCCAAGCTGATGTTTGACCCCGATGAACTTACACCGCTGACATAACATCAGTCCTTCATATAAATATCATTAACACAGCTGAGCCCACCTGGAGTTTATAAAATTACACAATTAGTATTTTTAATTTTTCTCTCAGAGACTTTTACAGTTGATGATTTTACCTGATGACATCTTTTCCACACGACCCCAAACTTATCATCGCAGTCTGTATATAAAAGATGGACGGCCTCAAACTGACCATTTTCACCATCTTGACCTTCAGTCAATGACATGGTAGCCCCGCCCTGAATGTCCCGTTTTAGTCCTGTTAACTTTAATGGTCCTTCATCTCCAACACGAGCACCGCGTTTTATTCAACAGGACACAAAACTGGAGCCTGAAACCATGAACTCATCAGCAGTCTTAACCAAGGTCAGAGGTCAGAGGAGTCTCCCCCTGCTGGTTTATTACAGAGAATCTATGTCCTGCTTTCAGTAAACGAGGCACGTGTGTCACTTTAGTCTTCAGTGTACCAGCGAAGCCACACAGATCAAACAACCCCCCCACTCGAGCCCCTCGTTAAAAGTGTGGCTGCAGTTTTTTCTTAGCTCACTGCATCCATAACATGGATCTGAATGTCCGCTGGTGGGAGGAGCCACAGACGCTTTGGACCGAATCGGTGATGAAGCCATAACGTAGCGACGGTGTGACCACAGACCACCACTTAAAGATGGGAGCTTGAAATGTGCAGCAGATGAATCCCCAACCAAAACACGTGGCTCACACCATCGCTCATGTATTCGGTCGTAAAAAAGACGAGCAGCTGGAGAGTGTTTAAGTATGGATTTAAATGTGATGGCAGGGTGATGTGGCTGTCACACGTGGACAGAGTCCATCGATTCTCCGTGTAGTAACTCGATCTGACCGACCGCAGGTCTCATTCACACACACTCCTGCTACAACACTGTACAAACTGCTCTGCGTGTCACCACAACCACCATCACCAAAACAGCCAGTTCTCCAATGTGACCTTGAACTCACCACAGCAAACGGGAGTTTTGAGCAGCAGCAGGTTTTAGTCTGTTTCATATAAAGACCCAGACACTGAGAGTCTCCTGAAACCTGACTGTAGTTTTTAGTCTCAGCTGATTTTACTGAAACTCTACAAACATCAGCACTTGTTGATCTGACTGTGCTACAATCTGTGTGTCCTTTAGAAATCAATCAGTGGTTAAAGGGGAACAACCTCCATCCATTCACCCGCCCACCATCGGCTGCTCGTTTCTGTGGAACAGCCTTTAGCTCCCACTCTCCTTTCTAACAAAGCGATCTTTTACTTCTTTAAACGTACGGCGCTCAATCGACAAAGTTTTAGTTCCCGCAGTGGAAAAAGTAAAAATCTTTGAACAGGTCACATGATGTCGCTACCTTGCTGTAAGCGAAGGGCACCCAGGAGATCTCCTTCCTGGCGCTCTTGAGGACTTTGGCCGTACTCTTGGTCGGGCTTTTCTTCACGCTGTCCCGCAGGTTGAGGAACCGACTGCGAGCTCGACAGGACGCCGGCACGGTGCAGGCGGTGAAGGTCGACAGCGACGCCTGCACCTGCGGGCGATTGAACGACTGTTGCTGCTGCTGTCGGTGGAGCTCGATGGCGTGCTGCCTCTGCAGAGGGTGCAGGTGGGCGATGGACTCTTGTAAGCTGGCGTTGACCCGCGGCAGCTTCTTCTCGCCGTTCACAGCTTTAGACAGGAAGTCCTGCTGCAGGTAATGAGTGGTCATCTTCCCAAACGGAGGAGGAGGAGCTGGGGGAGGAGGGGGAGGAGGATAAAGAGTAAATGAAAGATGCTTCCTTCGAGTCCAGAATGTCCAACGCCTACGACGAGACGGCGATACTTCCAAACTCTGCCGTGTTACTCCACCTCCGGCACCACAGCGCAGTAACACTCCCTCTCTTCTCTCCCGGCTCACCCCTCCCTGCCGGCTGCTCTTTCTCTGTGACACCCTCCCTCTCGTCTTCTCTCGTTCTCCTGCCAATTAATCGGCTCCAGCGAGCGAGGCACATGTGAGCGCGAGGGGGGGTGACGGGCAGCTCCACTCGCTGCATGAATAATCGATGCTGCCCCCGGATTCAGACACAGCGGCGTGCGTGTCAGCAGCGAGGGGGGAGTGCGACGAGGACTCCCGGTTAGCGGCAGGCGGGCAGGAAGCCGCTTTAAGCCTCTGCTGTAGAGAAAAACCCGACGATCCTCACAGGCTGCTGCGTCTCCACAGAGCTCCACCCGAAGCTGGAGGTGAAAAACATGCAGGCCTTCTCTCTTTTCACTTAAATAAAATCTGCAACGCGACAGCAGCGTGGACGCTCCTGGTGGATGTATACTCCATCAGACCTCCACGGCCTGGTTACAGGTGCAGCTCTGCAGGAACGTCGCTCTGACACTGTGTTTTCCTCCAAGTGAGGTGATAAATTATTCACATTTAGCAAAATATTGTTGAAACTGCCCACAGATTATGTTGGAAACACTTTTAAAAATGCCAAACTGTCCCAAAGCTACATAAACAAAAGATCTTGGCTCAGAAATCATAAATGCAGATTTTGTTTCCTGGGATTTCCTGAGTGTGCATGAGGAGAACGAGCTGCAGCAGAGAGAGACGTTTAACACTGAAATCTCACACTTATACCTGCACATCATATACTCTGACATTTCCACACCAACATCCAAAAACTGCGTTTCACTGAAAATAATCAAGTCTGTACCAAAACTCAAAGCTATGAACGCACTTCCTGTTGTGGCAGATGGTTCATTATATGGACTCAGAGCATTCAGGCTCGTTGTGAACAGACAAATTAATTATACGACAGAATAACCATCGCACAGGAGGCGGCGTGGGGTTCATTGGACGGAGGTTTGATTTCGTAAATGGATGTAAAATAGCCGAGCGGCCAGAGCCAACAGTGTGTTCTCCCCACAGTCCCCGAACGCCTCACCTTCATTTACGACGATGGAGAGACACCTCGACTTTCTACTGGTGTAAATCTGCTCATACGACGCCGTCATGGAGGCTGAGCCACATGATTCACAAACAGCAGAAAGTCGACGCACCGAGTGTGTCACAGTAAACAAACAC